AACCAATCCTTGTCTTTTAGCAGACTTTCCAGTTCTAAGACCAATAACTTGTATTCACTATCTTTCTTTTATATTAATCATCAATCCAGTCCTAGTCTAGTTTACTTTCTCTCACTACATTCTCTCTTTCTTTTTATTATAATTTAGATTTTTTAAAATTATTTTCATAGATATGCTTTCTCAAGTTTAACTCACTGACATATTTGTGAGCACACTGGCCAATTATTTCCCCATGTATCCATGACAATGTAACCCTTCTCTTTCAATCAACTGACATTTCAGCACATAGCTGGATGTCATTAATGACTTTTATTATCTACTTTGCAATAGATAATATAGAGTTTTTCTCATTTTAGATAATTTCTGTAAGCATTTTAGTTTTAAGAAAAGACACATCACAATCTTCAGCAAATGAGTGGGCAAGATCTCTTTATCCATTCCGAAGATTAGAATAGTTTTAATTTGTATATATCACTTTCATTTACATTCTTGAAATTTTGAAAATCAAATGTCACCTGATGAGTTTTTTAATGTGACTTAATATCTTATTTGCTTTACTCAGATGACCAACTTTTGTATTTGTGATTATTGAGTTCAACTGACAAATTGCAAAGTCTTTATCAGGGTGTCTTGCATCAGCAATTCAATTAAGTTGTCCAACAAGACATCTCAGCCTTGTCTCTTCTTGCACAGTAATGGCATCATATTTTTGTTTATTTTTTTAAGCTTGCAATGTATTTTCCATTTTAATAGACTGAGTAAACATAATAGAACTTTCCGGTTGATGTAAATAGAATAATTTAGTCTCTGATTATGTTAATTTATATATATATATATATATATATCAATATATATTTATTTATATATATATATATATACGGATTATAGTTTATATATAAATATATATATATATATATATATATATATATATACTAGAAAGCAGCTCATGTTAAATATGCCTCTCAATTTTTCTATAATGGAACTTTTTAGTCTTCCTCCCTTGATGACTAATCATTAACAAAATGTTATAATGAATACCAACTGCCTTAACTGTTATTTGAACTTTGTGCTGTAATTAAGTGCTCTCCTCCTCCAATTTATTAGACTTCAATAATGTCAAACCTGCTTATTAAAATGAACTCGATCATTTGGCTCAATAGAAACCATGGACAATTTCTTCTCAAGTTTGTTAGCTGTCCAGGGAAACTTTGCCAGTTGTAATTAGTTTGTTCTGGTTAGGCTAATGTTGTACTGATAGCAGAGTGACATGACTGATCAAAGGAAGGACATCACCAATTTCTTACCTTACCAACATGGTGGCTTGAAACTACATCTTATGGTGAGTGGAAATTCGATATGAAATTCTGGACCCAGTTCACCAAAATAGGGAAGAGGCAACAAGGATTTGCAAATTACTCATCATCAATGCTGATTTCTTTGCATCACACAAAGAAATCAGCATTGATGATGAGGATTCCATTGAGCAGATTTTTTATGTCTTAGATAAGTGGTTTAAGAAAGATGACTTTAGTGTTATATGTGAAACATGGTGTGCATTTAAAAATCTTTTGAAGAAAGTTAGATATCATGGATCAATTTCTCAATGATTTTTATGAGAAAAAAGTTAGCTGAAAAATCAAGGCCTGAAGTAGTTCTAACTATGCAGCTTACTGACAGTACTGGATTGGATAAAAAAAAAAAGATTCAAGAAACATAGCAACTGTTCTGATGCACTTTTTTCCTTAGTGCCTCAACTACATGAATTTAAGTGTACTACTAGATTAACAATTAGGTCTCACTGTTTTACTTTTGAACAAGCTAGATACAACTACCATTTCTATTTTAACAGTTTCTTTTCTCACATTTCTCACCTGTGGAACTCCATTCAGATTTCTTACTTCTCTGCCACCTACAATCTTCAAAAATTTAAATGCGATGTCAATTAACAATAAAGGAATAGGGTTCAGGAAGACAGTCATCTTGAACACTGTTCCTTTTATTATGCTTTCCTCACTTCTCATTTTCACTCTTTGTGGTGGCATTATCACTTTTCTTGGGGTGAAATGATTTAAAAAAAATTAATACTTCCTAATGTCTATTGAAAAAGTTTATTCTTGCACTTTTAACCACACATTTTAAAATGTCCAGAAATCTAGGGTAGCTTGTTTACTCATAACAGAATATAGTTCTTTTGTTATATCAAAGGTGAATATCATAGATTGTGAATGGTTTGTAAAGATATATAAGACCCAAAATATTTTTTGTTAATAACTAAAAAAAATAATCCTGTAATATTTAAATTTACAGTTCATATTGTGATTAGTTGTTAAATTTGCAATATTTTGTATTAAATATACAAAATATTACAAATTTAACAGGTCATTTTTGATGAACATTTGTTGATGCATTTCTTACAATTGATTTTCATTCTAAAATTTGAAGGTCCTGAAATTGTAGGTTTTTATAAAATTAACATATTTGTGTATGCAAAATCTTCTCTTGAGAAATTGCAAAGTTGTTTAAGTCTTGATTATTTCTGCTCATGAATATAAAATTGCACTTTAATGGATTTACATGATCCAAATGTATGACAATTTCTTCTTCATAAAAGAGTAATTAATATTGTGCAAGTATTTTATTACTTGAATTCTCAAAATGATTCTTTCATTGCATTCATAGAATGTTTAAGGTGAATTTTAAAATTACATTCTGACTTTTACAATCTCCAATGGTCTAAACATAGGTACCTCCTCGAGATCGCTAAAAAAAGAGCATAGCATGATGAAAAAGACGCCAAACTTGACGAAAACAAAATTTTATCGTCTAAATGTTTGTTATTATTAAGAGGAAAGGTCAAAGTATTTTTGGGGTATTTTTTTCCATTTTTTAATCGTTCCTAGCACGTCCGAAATTTTCGTTAAAAATCTAGTTTTTTTTGAGTCAGCAAAATTGACCATTTTTTTCCATTTAAAAAAAAACTGGAAATCTGACTTTGAAATTTTTTAAATATCAATTATCATTTTTTCAAAACTTATTTTAAGAAAATCAGAAATTATAATGTTTATTTAAAATATTTTGAACCAAACTTAACTTAGCTTAGCTTTTGTGCCAAAAAGATGTAATTTGAAAATAAAACAAAGCAGGTCATAAACTTTCGCGTCTCTTGACACGTGATGAATGATGAATTCCATGAGGCTAATTTGTTCTACGGAAGAAGAAAAGTGAAATAATTTACATTTACGTGAACAAATTATTTACCCCGTTATTTTTAACGAAAACTTTCAGTGGTCTAATTTTTTTTTTTTTTTTTTTGTACTTGGCTTTCACCTTTACGTTTATGATGCTTTATGGGAAATATATTGTAAAGAAATTAAAATAAAACTGTTAAGAGTGACATTAAATTTCATATTTCTTAAGAAAGGTATCTAATTAATTTATAGGTACCTTTCTTATGAAATTTTATCAGAATTGTACATAAAATACTATAATTTTATGTACATTTATTACATTCTACTGTTATTTGTATTTGCATTCATTTTATTATTAATTTTGATATTTCATTTATGGAAAAATGTCATAACTGAGATTAAGATTAAAATAAGATCATATAAATTTCATAAGATGATACTGATACTTGTAGGTACCCTTCTCAGTTGAAATTGAAAAATCAAATTAACTTCTCCACACGTGTTTCGCAAAAAGTAAAGGCCTTAACAGCGGAGAACAATGCTTAACTCAAATAACATAACTTAATTATATTCTGGTTGGTCTTCCGTATTTTATAATTACAGCTCGATTATAAGCACAAAATTACATTTCTTAATTACTGGGTATCTTCTGATTAGTCAAAATGATACAATTTACAATGCGCTAAAAAAGATCTATCTCATAAGGACACATATGAAAGCCGATGCGACTTTTAATTAATTTTATAATATTTTAACAACTTAAATGTAAAATCTATTATAATTAATGAAATAACAAATAATTGTATTAAAATTCATTTTCATCGAAAAAATTTTTTTGCTTTCAGAAAATATTGTCCATATTCATAAAAACAACTAAAAGCAAATAAAAGCATTTGAAATTAAATAATATCTTTGTTTTATTGAGTTTTGTATGTTACAATTCAGAGTTGATTTTCAGGTACTGCGTATCCAATTAAAAACAAAAAAAAACATGATTTGCATTCCTCAAAGCCCTGTGCTTTTAATTATTGTAATCACTAAAACCGATGCGATCGAATTTCTAGCGTTTTCATAAAAGTAGTTATGGGGGGGTAATAAATATTTAAAAAAAATATTTCTACCATGACTTTCATAAAAAAAACATTTATAATAATTTTGATCATCTGTGAATAGTTCCTGAAAGTTTCATTAACATCCAATAATTATTTCTATTTTTGCACGATTTTTCAAATTAATGTGTGTCATACCAAAAAAACGTGCTAAAAATTGTCTATGTTATTTACTAGTTCCGCTGATACAAATAGAAAAAAGGTTTTTTTAATCAAAATTTAGAATGTTCTAAAAAGAAGTAAATTTTTTTAAAAATAATTAAAAAAAAAACTTTGGTCTTTCCTCTTAATAATAACATAAGCATTTAGACAATAAAATTTTTTCGGCAAGGTTGACGTCTTTTTCATCAAGCTATGCTCTTTTTTTAGCGATTTCGTGGAGGTACCTATCTAAACATATAAAAAAATTTTGTCATTGGTATTTTAGCACTAATTATAGAAATAATTATTTTATGTATATGGAGAATTTGTGGCATACTGTCTGTATTTCAGTTGTAATCAAATTTTCTTTTCTTTCATTTTTGTTAGTGATTTACAAATTTGTATAATTTCTATGTAATCTCTTGTAGCCATTGGAACAACAATGTCGGTATTTCTTTTTATTGGGCATTTCATATTATTAAAATCTCTGGTCAGCTTGGTTTAAGTAATGTAAATGTAGTTAAAATTATTTTTGTTTTGACTTTTTTTTTTTTTAATTTAGTTCCAGATCATTGAGAAACATGTTGAGAATCTTCTGGAAAAACTGCCTCCATTTTCTAACGAGTGTGAAAACATTGCAAAGAGAGCCCAGGAGATCAATTCTAGGTAAGAAAATTATTCCTACTAAATACAATGTTTTAGATTTTCCAACCTTGTAAATGTATTGAGTTTGATTTCTTGATTGAGTTGAAATTAGCTATTGATGATTTTATTAGTTTAAAATCTGTTTTCATTCATGACTCTTTATTAATTGATGTTTGTTTTTCAAGTTAATATGATTAAAGTTTTTGAGGCAATGTGTTTTTGCTTTGTTTTTCTTTCCTCACGAAGAAGTTTATTTGTTCTTTGCAGGCAACAGAAAGAAATGAATAGTCTGAATAAAGTGTGAACTATAATCACTTTATTAATCCATTTATGAATTCTATTATTGTGCCTTTTTCTTTTCTTTTTTTTTACTTTGATAGTCGACGGATGAATAGCCTGACTCTTCAACGACACACCCAACTGTTGGAAATCCTGGAAATGCCCCAGTTAATGGACACCTGTGTGCGGAATGGTTATTATGAAGAAGCTCTAGAGTTAACGGCTCATGTCAAGAGATTAGAAAAGAAACACTGCAACATTCCAGTGATTGCTGTAAGTAAACAAAAACAAAAAACATACAATGTATATTTTTCAGTGTATAATATATGCTTAGTCCATTGAAAGATATAAACAATTATGTCACTTGTGTATATTTTAAACCCTAATCAGTTCTTAAAACATTAAACTCAAATGTTATCTCTTAAAGCTCAGCTAATATGTAATTTCAAATAAACATTGAAGTTGCCTAAAAAGTATAATTGCCTTCATTTTGATTTTTATATTTCATTTGCTGTTGTATGAAACAGACTAAAATTGATATGATACATAATTTTGATATGAAGATGCTTTTTTTTTTCATATGGAATATCTGCAAATTTACTCTTGTTGGAAAACAGAATAAACAATATTTACAGTAGTTAAAATTGATTGTGCAATGGTAGAATTGGCAACAATCAATTGATCTTTTAATCTTTTATAGCAATTGTAAGGCTCATGTTTGCACTTTCATTTCAGTCCGTGATTAAATTTTGAAAAATAAATTATGTAGAAATATTTTAAACATATTTTCGAAGTTAATGTGTGTGAATTTAGTTTTTTAGTGCTCTTTACAGAAAATAAACTTTTGTTTTTTTTTCTTTTGTTAGTTTTATGGTTTTAAACACTCAATGAAGCAGCAAATTTTTAAATGTAGATATATTTGGACATTCTCTGTCATGTCTCGAGGAAACAGCAGTTTATATTAAAAACTGCTATTTCTGCATATATTCAAAAGCAATCAGGTAAATGGAACTCATCAGCCTGGGAGGGTGGTCCATTTCTAAAAAGGGAAAACTATGATTTCAAAACTCCATTGCCTTGTGGCCAAACTCAATCATGGAAAAGGCTTTAAGAGTAAACCCCGAGGAAAAAAATCTGCCGCCAATGTCCAAAAGTGACTTCAATGTTGCATTCAACATTTTTCCTGGCAATTCCTGCAATGATTCTAGTGTTAAGCAATATCAGCTTCTGCATTCACTTGGGCAACATTGGTGATGTGGGAAGCAAAGATGTGCTTTATGGGCATTTGTTGATCTCCATAAACTCCTTCCTGGGCCAGTACTCTGGAAAGTGTTGCTTCACCATGGCAGCAAGACTGAATTAAAACTTTCCAAGTACATATCCATGGTGGACTTATAGATGCCACACACAATGGAATTATAATCAAATTATTTAGTAAATGTTTATTTATCTTTTATATTTCAGCAATATTAGATTGAACAATATAAAATTGAAAAATTTAAGCCTGATGTCTTTTTAGCATTTTTGGTGAAATGGAGTCATTTTTTAAAATGATATCTAAGTTTAAAAAAAATGTTTGTTACATTAATTTTTACCACATTTTTAAGTGAATCTTGAAAACCTTACAGCTGACAATTTCCACATTTTATACTAGTTTGAATTTAAGCTAAGACATAATAGGGCTGAAGCTGCAAGGAAATATAAATTCTGCATTATAGGAGGCACAATAACGTAATAAGAGTTTTGTGACAGCCTTGTCCTTAACCAAAGTAAAAATTTGGAAATTGTATGAATGCATTGTTGAATGTCAGGTTGTAGTTCAACAAAAGAGGCAAGATATTCTGCCTTCCAAAATTCCTGATCCAGTTGATGTTGTCATTGGTGTTGAATCCTGAGTGAGTTGTTTTTTTTTTTTTTTTTTTTTTTTTTTCACTGCAAAATTTGCAAGAAATAAGTAAAATTAATTAAACTGCAATTGAAATGCTCAATTTATTTTACCATAAAAATTCTGATACACCTGGCCTTACCCTAAATTATGCTTTTGGTTTGAGAGTGGGATGATTGTCAAGATCAAATCTAATAAATTTTCACCTGACTGTTTCTAGTTACAAGGCAAACTACTTAGGTAAAAATGAAGATAGGTAAGTGAATTGCTATAAGTCAACCTGAGCTGGTTGCTCTATTTTTCAAAGGTTAATAGAATGGTCATCTCTTATTAGCCCAAATAAATTACTTTTATTTTTATCATTCACTTATTGGAAGTTTACAGATTGACTTAAGTATTTCTTTTTGCACTACTGGCTCAGTATTGCACATGGTACTTTTCATGAGAAGAATGTTGTTTTTAAAAGTAGTGTGATACTTCATTTTGTCTAAGATTTCTTTTTCCCTCTAGTCTCAAATACTGAAGTTTCATCTCTGCGAATTGTCTTTCATATAACAAATACAAATTTGCTACCAAATACATATATTTAATTTGTATCATCTTAGGTTAGGTTGTTTTCAGGTTTTGTATTTCAGATGAGATCGTATCTTGTTGGTGAGGTTAAATTTCCAAGCGGTGCTAATTTCTCAAATCAGTATCATGATACTTTTCTGCTGGTCTGCATGGGTTTGAATTCACCAGGATGACTTTGCTTACTGTTCTACCAGCTATGAAAAAGCATTTACTTTCGTGCTAGCAGCAATTAAATGACTGTGATAGTCATGGTGGTAATTGCATATAGTTCTTTACTAGTTTTCTAAATATTGTCTTTTATTTTTCTATTTGTTAATTTATTTTTTCCATCATCATAACAAATAATCCTTTTACCTTCTCATCAATCCTTTGCTATAAAATAGTTGTAAGATGTTTATAGTTCAGTTCTGTCACTCTTGCCTTCTCTGTATCCTCTGTAAGCAATGTAGATAAAATCTTTTCCTCTCCATTTAGACAAAGTGGTTGCATTCCATGGGCCCTTAAGAGGCTGAAATTGAATGAAACAAAAATGTTGCTTACCAAATAGAAGAAAGCAAGTAGGACTGGAAAAAGCAATCAGTCAATTCTTTTTTTTTTTTTTTTTTTTTTTTCATTAAGGAATCATTTTATTGGTCTTTACTTGTATACCTCAACTACATGTTTGTTTATATGTTTTGCATCTCACTTAAATTAAATGATGTATTTGTTAAAGAAATTCTACTTCACTATTTTGATGTGCTTCCTACATTGGAACTCTGTTTTTATTGATGTAAATGTAATTACAGTGATAAATATTTTATTTTTTACTTCATTTACTAATGGAAATAAATACATTTTATGCTTTAAATTATTTTCTGCCATGTTCAAAAACACTCTATAACATAATGGGGAATTTTTGATAATGCATTACCTACCATTTTCCCCCATGTTCAATGTTATGTTTATAAGATGTAAAGATGTTATAACAAAACACATCTTTCCTTTTTTAAATGAGAGAAGCATATATAGAAATGTATAAGGATGATTTGGATTAAAAACAAATAAATACACCAACTAATTCTACATTTGTGATAATATACTTATTGGTGGAAAAAGGAAAAGTTGTCTGTCTTCATTATCATGTTAATAACTTAGCTGCATTTAATGATCTAAACAATCTTCATTATTCCTTTCACTATAATGCCATATTTAATCTGAATATTTTATTCAACAATCACCAAAAAGTTACATTCTCTCTACTAAAATTCTAAATAAATCCATATTTACAATTTCAAATGTCTAATATGACTGCAAAATGAAGTTAACCAGTTGAAAAATTGGGGGTGGGGGCGTTTAGACATCAAATAAAATTTAAAAAATAAAAATACAATGAGAGATTCACACTTTAAGTACTAATGTTCACCCAAAACAAAACCCAAAAGTCATTCAAAGTAGAGGATTACTAAATGGGATTGTTGTAAGAACATATGAGGAGGAGGAGGAGGAAGTAAGTGCATATTATGAGGATATGTAGGATAGATAACTGTTGACCTTAGACTTGAAGTGGTTAAGATCATAGTGATCAGAAATATGTCTGTTTCACAAAGTTCTTGAGAAGAAGCAACCTGAGTAGAACTTCCAACTATTGGTAAGTAATGGAATATGATGAGAATGAAGATCAGTCAACCTTGTGCACATGGCATGGTGAATTCTAACTGGGAAGGTCTGAACTGGAGAAACTAAAGATTGTAACTTGTATATTTATTTTGAAAATAGTGAGAAATGGAAATATAGGGAACTAAAAATAATAAAAACAACCAATAAGCATACATTCCTTTGTTAAGTTAAATAAGCTTAACCAAAGTGAAACAACGCTATTATACCTTAACAGTGGCTGGGATAACAAGTCTTTCTCAAAAGAACAGAATCCTTAATCATTTCAAGATGTCACTCTAAGTTAGCTCCTTTCACATGACAGATGGAATTCTTGTTGCCTGAAGTGAAGATTTGGTTCATTAGTCTGTTATGAGACAGGATAGAAGTAGCAGTGAAGATGTCTCAAGTGTCACCTACCTACCCACAGACAGTTCCAGATGAACAGATCCCTGAATAAAGAACCCTGTTATCAGAACTAACATACTTCTTGTCTTTCTTACTAAGGCAATATCTCAAGACAACTATTTGGTGGGATTTTTTTCTCTGTGCAGTCTCACCTTCAGCTTCTTCATACAGTGGACCAGATTTGTTCAAATGGGAATTGACTTACATTATGGAACAGAAGTTGACCAGTCAGTCAAAAACTGTCTGAGGGACCCAGATTTGTTTGAATGTAACATACTGCCAAGAAAGGAACCAGGAGTTTGGATGTTTATTTTGGAGGAGAGGTGTCAACCAAAAAAAAACAAAAAAAAAACAATTTTTTGAAAGTGTAGGTGATTCCATTAATGGGCTATGTATAATGAAAAGCAGAAATGTGTTGTGGGACGATCTTGGAGATAGCCCAGAGGTGCTTCCTGATAAGCTCATTTTATATTAAAGAGCTTTTTAGAAAGGTGGGTGCACAAATAGGACAGATATATAAAAACTGAACAGACATTCTTGTGGAAAACTGATGGATCATTAATGGGAAGGTAGTTTATGAGAAACAGAAAAGATGCTTAGGCTCAAGATTAGTGGATCGATATAAACATGGATGTTAGGGGAAAAATGTCTGACCAGATAATTTTAATTGTTCAAGAAAATCCAGTTGGTGATTTAGTCAATATGAACCAACCCTAAGACTGGGAAACAGAGGTTTTTCATCCAATGGTATTTGAGAATTTGGAAGAAAATTTGAACAAAAAAACCTAGTTATTTTTAGTATTTCCATCTCCTAGGTCTACTTTGAACTTACATCATACTTCAACATGGTTCTAAGTTCAAAATCTTTTTGGCACCAATGAAGTTTTAAAACTTTATTATTATTATCATCATTATATTTTGATTTCTGCTATGGTCATACTACCTACCAAGTCCCGCAGAAAGACCTAAAACAGGTAGTGGTGTGTTATGGCTACATTTTATGATTTGTTTTCTACTTCTCATAATATCACTAGCATTACATAGACAAAGTTCTTCTTAGTGTGTGGGCTGTATTTATCAAGACAATTCTTTTTTATTTCCCTTAAGCTGGGATTTCCAGGAATTTTTTTTAATGTGTTGTTGTGTTCCTTTTTTATCATTCCAAGCACACCTATTATGACTGGTACTATTCTTCTTTACAATTTCCACATTTTTTCTATTTCAATTTCCAGGTTTTTATGCTTCAATAGTTTTTCAAATTCCTTGGTTGCTATACTACAGTCATATCAATAAGTAGGCAAGTTTTTTCTTTTCAGTTTTTGACAGTTATGTTCAGCCTATTTGCTTCAATCTTCCTGTCTGTAAAGATGGTGTAATCCCATAGAATTGTGATGTCTTCTATTTCTGCAACTGGTGCTGGGTGATGTTCATACCAGTGTTTGTTAACACTTTTTCCAAAGTGTTTGCACATTGTCCAGTGTAAATATTTCCCCACTCTATCATGACGATTTTTATATTCATTTGGCACAAGTACAGAACATCCTGAGATTCGATGGTCTATGGTTTCCAAGATATTTATCACAGAACCTGCATTTTAGATCCACACTATTATATATGATATTTACCTGAAAGTTCCTAGTGAAAAGACTCTGGTCTTGCACTTCAAGAATAAAGTCTTCTGTTTCAGCCTTTAATCCAGATGCTCGTAACCATCAATGAATGTTAACTTTATCAACATCGGCTTTAATAGGAACGTTCTGGATATTGGCCATACAGAAGTTTGTCTTGCCAGTGATCATTTGTTCAAGAGCTTTCTTCTTGGCTTTCTTTTTCATATTTTTTGCTGCAACAGTTGGTCCTTGGGTTCTGTTTTGGTTTTATACAGAATCTGCCAAATGTAAATCTCATTGTATTTACAACCTTCTTTCATGATTTTATTATTATAAAAAACAAAAAAAGACTTAAAATTAGTATTTTTTTAGATATACGCAGTTAGCCCAATTGAAATCACTATAATATTTTACTTACTCATAAATCCAGTTATAAATATTATTATTCTTTTTGCAGCGACCAAATTATATTGTTCGATATTAATGTACCTGCTTTATTTTATGTAGTGTTTTATTTCTGTAATTCAAGCTTCCAAAGATTCCCACTTTACTAAAATGTTCATCAAAAATACTATGGATTGATAATACATATTGTATCTTGTCATATCAAGTTCAAGTTAAAATTCATTCTGGGTAGATACTTCAAAGTTACCAGTAAGGATGATCCTGGACAAGACATGCTTATTATAATTATTTTTTGTTTGTTGTTGTTTTAATTTTTTTTCCTTTTCTCCAGAATATTGTGAATGAAGTGAAGAACTCGACTCAACTGATGTTGAACCAGTTAATTCAACAGCTTCGAACAAACATTCAACTACCATTGTGTCTCCGTGTTATAGGCTATCTCAGGCGAATGGATGTCTTCTCAGAGGCAGAATTGCGGATAAAATTCCTGCAGGTATAAACAGTTGTTTCTTCTTTCTCATATAAGAAGCTTATTTTAATCCATATCAACTTGTTTTAGTCAGAGTGCAGAACTAATTAGAAAATTGATCTTGGTAAAATTGGATTAAAAAAAAAATTAATGATTGTAGTTTTGGAAAATGCATTTCATCTCTCTCATATTTTAAAATATTAAGACAGCATGTCATAATATTTTACTTATTCAGTTCTTCATTTCACATTATTTTAACATGTTTTTAAAATAACATATATACACAATAAATATCTTATTTATTTTACCTGTTGGTTCAATAAGTCATCTATGTTCTGATTTACTATTAATTATTCATCTGCCAAGTAAATTGCGGTACTGCAACAGGTACTTTGAAACAAATTTGTATTGATAATGAAGTTGTTTTACTTAAGTACCCACTCACAAATAAAATGGTGTGTGTCAAAAGGACGTTTTCCCCCTTGACACTTCTGTTACTGTATACACCCTTGGCAAGTTTTATTGTTTTAAAAAAGCTATTTTTAGAATTTTAATAAAACCCAAACATAGGAAATTGGATTTATACATTCTTTTTTGTTTTTGTTCTTGAGAATTGACAACAAAAGTATTAAACACTAATTTTGTAAATAAACAGTCTAATAAATAGTGTTTGACATTTTTATAGTTATTTTTCAAGAAAAAAAGTATAAATCCAGATATTAGCAACCTATTTTAGTGAATTTATATGGTGAGAACAAATAAAAGAAATGCCTGAAAAATATATTTTTTTTAAATTTATAATTATTTACTCAGTTATATGTTTATTTAGATTTTCTTTTTGGCAAACATTTTTATAAATTTATGAATAAAAAAAATTTGGTTACATATTTATTTCTTTATATGGTAAATAATAAGTTAATTGTAGTTGGTTCACATATCTTTTTATGAGTTTGTAAATATAAAATTCTTGTAAATAAACAATCAAATTGTTGTCAGTTCTCTAGAAAGAAAGCAAAGGTAAAATATATTTTCATATATTACAGTTTTATTAAAATTATAAAACAATAAAAATTGCTGAGTATGTAGGCAGTAATAGCAGTATCAAGAGAACAACTCCTTTTGAAACACCAGTTTTTTTTTGTTTTAGTTTTTTTTTTGCTTATATGTGTGTTAATTGTTGCCCCTTTTTTCTTTTACTTTCTTGCAATTTAACCCCCCCCCCCACACACACACACCTTTTTTTGTTAGACATATTTTCCTTTTAAATTTTTTATTCTATCACTTGTTTCTTTCTCTTTCACATTTGTCATTTTTTCTCTTTTCTACCTTTTCCCATTGTATACCTTTTCCAGGCTCGTGATACATGGTTTCAGAGTATTCTTGATGCTATACCAAGAGATGATGGTAAGATGACACTTAAAAAGAAAAAAACAAAATGATTTCTCATTTTATAATTTGGTTCCACTATTCGAAATTTAACAATTTTTATTTAAGTTCTATCTCTTTGTTAATTTAATAAAGCATAATGTTTGTAAAGATGATGACACCTATCTGGTTAACTATAGATATTCAAGAACAACCTTTTATTTTGCCTATTAATATTTCTGTATCTAAAGGTCACTAGAAATTTCTTTCATTTATACCAATAGTTAGGGATTATAGTTTTCAAATTTTGTAATTGCTATAAAAGCAGAAACCATGTTTCTATTGATAGACTTGTCTCGGTACCTTTAGGTCTCTTATTGGTATGATATTTCTGATACAAGATGACTTCTGGGTATTCGTGACATGTCCACTCAGAGCATCACGTATGTATTTCCTGGGTTGAGCATCTCTTCATCAAGGCTGCTGGAGGTAGATGTTTTCTGAGTTTTGGCATTATCCACCTGATACTCAGGAATCCAAACCTTTGAGTAACTCTGAAGGAGGCTATCCTATCAGCAGGTGTATAATGTACTGCCATTTTGGGAATCATTTCTGGATCATGCAATAGTCTCCAGTGGGGCCTCTTTATGGCATGATGAAGGGTACTGTTGTGACTGTATCTCTGAATGATTCTCTCCAAGGTATTTATTTATACATGCAGCTCCTGCAAGTGTGTCCATTTCTCTGCCTACTATACTTCCACCATCCAATTCACACATGAATCTCATAAAAATTAAAATGGACAAAACTATCAAACCCAACCTAAAAAAAAAAACAAAAAAAACAAAGTAGACCCCCTCGTAAACCATCTCCTACACCAACGAGAGGGGTTTTCATTCCAACTTTCCAGAAACGGAACACCATCTTCTCCAATCTAAAGCAGATAATCTGTTACTTTCTGAAACCTGTATCAATGCTTCATGCACACTGGGGGAGTTCACAGTCCATGGTTACTTTTATAGCCAAATGTGACCACCTAAATCACCACAGACTTGGAGCTTATGTCAAGGACGAGTTTCTCTGTCAGGGACACAAAAAATGAGGAACCCAATCTCCCTTACATGTGCTTTTGCATAACACTCATCCATTGTACCACAGGACAAAGGAACGGCAATCTTAGACTGAATATCTGAGAAAATTGATATTATCCTCACTTAATTTCCCTTGGCCACTTTTATATCTGCAGTGACTTCAAGATCCATCATAAAGACTGGTGAGTCCATGCCAACAAAACCAATGTCGAAGGCAGATATTCTGGAGACTTCTCCATCACCTATGAGCTAACCCAGATCATTGGAGAACCTAACCGAGTCCCAGACACGACTGGAACCTCTTCGACCTCTTCCTAACCTCCTGCCCTGATAAATCCTTATGAAAAGTTCTACACACACCAAAAAATACACCCCAAAAAATCCAGAAAAAACAATCAACTTTGGTTCACCCCTGAATGCTCTGCAGCCATGACTCACTGAAACCATTACTTCAAAATCTATCACAAGGAGTGATGTAGTTCAGCCCTTACTACATTCAGAACTGTCTGCAACAGCTGCAAAAATGTTTTAAAAATGCCAAGTGTAGCTACTCATGAGCCATCCAGACCAAGGTTGAAAAGAAACAAATTAGTGAATTCTAGAAGTTCACCAACCAAATCATGAACAATGGTAAAGCAGTTATACCTACAATTATAAATGTCCCAGAGCACAATCTCCATAATATTACCATCACAGCATGAGAAGTCTTCCAGACTTATCAAAGACCTTGACCCTAAGACAGACACTGGTTCAAACAAAATTCCAGTGGTGGTCCTTAAGAACATCATCCCAGAATTATTCCCAATCCTAGCAAAGTTATTCAACCGCTGCTTAAAAGAGAAATCCTTCACATGCCCATGGAAAGTGTCAAGCGTATGCCTGATTTTTCAAGAACATGGTAAAGACCCATCAGTCTCCTCAGTATTGTCATCAAGCTGTTTGTGGCCATAATCAATAAGAGGGTCATTGAGCACCTAGAAAAGCACAACCTTTTCGGCGACAAGCAGTATTGGTTTTGGTCAGCACGATCCACTGCCAACTACCATCACTCACAGAATCAGTGAGGCTCTTGACAACAAACATACCTTGAGGACCATAGCACTAGATATCTCAAAGATCTTTGACAAGGTGTGGTACAAAGGCTTACGACACAAGCTCTCCAGTTATGGAATCTCTGAAAGGGTCTTTATCATAAAATCCTTCCTAACAGGTTGGTCCATGAAGGTAGTTATTAATGACAAGTCCTCTGGAGCCCTAGAGGTCAATGCAGGCAACCCTGAGGAGTCACTCCTAGGACCAACCCTCTTTTTGACCTTCATAAATGATCTGCCTAAGAATATACTCAGATCATTTGTAAGCATCTATGCCAATGATATGACTATATACAGGTATACCTCTGAAACTCTCAATGACCAGAGATTGGTGACTGAACTCTCTTCTAATTTTGCACAAACTACCCAATGGGGTAAAAACTGGCTGGTTACATTTAATGCCTTGAAGACCAAGCCAGTTACATTCCATCATTGCTGATCTGACCCCAAACTACCACCAATCACGATGAACAGAGGTCCCCTCAAGGAAGCACAGTGCTCTGAATGACTGTTAGGCCTTAAATTCACACCTGACCTCAAGTGGAACTTGTACATACAATCTATTGCTAAGGATGCAGGTAAAATGGTTGGCTCTCTGTACATTTTCAGTAAGTACCTGACTCTTCCTGCTGTTCTCTACCTTTACAAAAGCCAGATCAGGCCAAAAATGGAGTACTATTGTCATATTTGGGTGGGTCCTGCCCAGACCTCACTCCTCAGCCTTGATAGAGTTTAAAAGTTTCTCCGAGTCCTTGTGGGAGACAAATTATTCCCCACCCTTCAACCTCTCTCCCACAAGCCTCTTGCTGCTCTACCACTATTTCTACAGAAGGTGCTCAGACAAGCTATGTTCCTTGATCCTGCTGAGGCAAACCTTCACAGCAAGAAAACAATATGCCATTTACATAACAAACCACCCACATTCCCTCCATATTCCATCAGTGAGAAGCATGTTCCACTCCAGCAGCTTCTTCCCATGAACCACTGACTCCCAACAGGATGTTTCCCTGATCACTTCAGTCTTAACCCTTTCAAGGCCAAGGTTGACCACTATCTTCCACTCCTATATACACAAATGGTCCCCAAATGTAACCCTCTACCTCGAGCGGCCTCAGGCCTTGTAATGGATGAACCTTGCTATAAAATAAAATTTTTTTTAGTTTCAATTCTAGGGATGGAAACAAAACAATTAAAACTAAGAAAAATTAACACATTAAAAAAAATAACCTTTCATAAAAATGAGAGATTTACCTATAATTATTAAGTACCTATCTTATTTATGAAATTTTATGGTATTATTTTTATTTATTATTAATTTTTATATTATCTCAGTTATGAAAAAATTTCACAACTGAGATATAAAAATTAATAATAAATAAAAATAATACCATAAAATTTTATAAGAGATGTACGTAAAAATTAGTACCTTTCTTATGAAATTTTATCTCACTCCCAGCTATGAAATTTTAAATTTATTTTATTGTTAGTATTTTAAACTTTTTTTTTTTTTTTTCAGAAATTATCTTCAAATGTATGGCTATAAAGCTAAAGTGTATATAAAAAAAATCAATAAAATATTAGATTGCTGAAAGTATTTGTTAATTTTTTTAAAAGTTAATGTGTAGTTAAATAAATTAGTTCACTTTAAATTTTAAAAAAATTGTCACTTCTGTTCTTCCAAATGTTAACTTTCCCTGACCTAAGCTGTCAATGTATTGAAGTCACGTTGGTTAAGACATGCTTTTTAATGGTATTCCACTGATGCAAAAAAACAAGATTTTTAATCAAAATTTTGAATGTTTTTAAAAAGGATGAAAAAAATTAATAAAATAATCAAAAAATACTTTGGCCTTTCCTCTTAATAATGACATAAACATTTAGATGATAAAATTTTTCATGTTTGGGGCCATTTTTCATCATGATATGCTCTTTTTGGGTGAATTAGTGGAGATACCTTTGTGAATTTTGCACCAAAATTGTTTGTTTAAAGATAAAATATGCAAGTTCAGATAAAATAAATAAACATTATACTTCAATATCTTAAATAACAAACTTAAGTTAATCCAAAGGTAAAAAGTAAAAATTTCCTAACAAAAAAATTAATTTCTTAGTCCAATTCCAGCCATGAATATTCATGTGTTAACAGTTTAGTGCCCCGTCACACACAGGCATCAATGAAGTCTGGTATAAAGATCACCTTGTTAAGTCTTAATGTAATCTGTTTGTAAGATTATATATATATATAGAGTTGTGGTGCACATTAGTTTTATTTTTTTAATTGAGCCCTGAAGAGAGAGAGAGAGGGAGAAACAGAAAGAAGCTATTGAAGGTTAATGATTGCATGCTGAAGGATAATTGTTTATGGAAGACAAATTTTAATAAGAAGAAATGATGAAAGTTTTGTGGAACATGGTTATGAGCTAGAGGCTTTATGATAAAAAAAATATTTAACTCAAAATGACACACTTTGAATCTCTTAGTTTTTTCTATTCATCATGATGTTAACTCAAAGAGAGGATTATTATTCCAGACTTCAAGGTCTTTACATATAGCATTTACTGCCAGACATAAAATGATTTGACGGATCATTGATCACAAAAATTGAATTGGAACAATGTTATGTCAAGAGAATCACATAGATTGAACTATTTTGTCAAAGTATCTAGTCAAGCTTAGTTCATTTTGCTTCCCATTGATCTGTATATTTTTAGTGATACATCTAATATATATGGTTTTTGCCACTTAGTGTCTGAAATGGTGATTTTTATTTAGTAATTGTACCAACAAAGCCCAACAGTATACCTACTCTGGAATCTACTGCATGTCTTGATAGTAAGGTTGATCAGTCTGACAAGGT